CTCGACCCCCCACCACACCCCCACCCCCACCCACACCCACACCCACCCCCCACACCCACACCCACACCCACACCCGCACCCACACCCACACCCGCACCCACACCCTTATGTATCTTTGTTACTCTAAAAAGCATCCATATACTGAAAACACAAATCAGTATGTTTTTGATTGTTTTAAAAGACATTTTTAATGTATAAAATAAAATATAAATTCAATGCTTAGAAAAGTCTAAAAAATTGACGATAAAATTCATAATAATCAGCAAAGAATGTATCCATTAGACGTCTATTAATTCAAAATAATAACACATCACCACCACATTGCCATTCAAAAATGTTCGTGGAAATCAGGACGAATTTTACCATAATTTGAAAGACAAACTTGATCCAAAAAGCGAAACTCCTGTGGTTCGACCAATCTGGAAACCCGTTCCCAGAATTTCCACTCCTACCCCTTCTTTCCCAGCCTTCACACCCGTATCAACTAGTAGAAGCCTTTATTTAAATTTCAATCCAAGTAGAATACTATGAACTTACCTCCTACACCTACATTCATATTGACAGGGCCTACATTCAATTGAGCGGCTGAGGCGTTAGCCTTGATTCCAGCATCTAAACCCACATCGGGATCCCAAATCTTTGCACCAGCTTCTGCTGTTCCAAGCTTTCCACCGATCTAAAACGTAATAAAGTGAGAGCGTCAAAAACAACCTTGCTGCCATCAATTGTATGCTTACATCGATCGGACCCAACGCAAAATTTGTTGCTGCCCCACAAGCATTGTATTTAACTCCGATGCCGTCGATGCTGCCCTCAAGTTTGCCAACCTCAAGGGCGACACCAATATCACTATTCGGACAGACTCTTCCATTTAATAAAGAAATTCCGATTTTACGATTTTTGTCATCCACATAGGGCTTTGGACCTGCATGCAAATGGTATTATATTTAAAATTTTAAGTAGAACTTAGAGTAAGAGTTTTGCTTTAAGCTAGTTTTCAGTTGAAACTTTTCAAAAATTGTTATGAACAAATCTTACCATCTAGATTTGCTCCAACATTGAATTGATTTCCATTTTTAAAACGATCAGCGAGATCCGGTATGTCTACATGAACACCTACACCGTCGAGATCAGGATCAATAGGTGTACTTAGCTTTGCTATTAAAACCTACGATGATATATCTTGAAACAGAGAAAATTTTTCATTCACTCACAATGAATATTCTTAGCTCGATGCATAAACCCTCGTGAACTACGTCCGCCATGTGCATTGGGATGATAACCGCCACTACCATCTCTATTTGACGATTCCATCTAAAAGAAAGCAATATTCTGGTAGGTAGGCAGAGTTTTGAGTCATAAAATGCCGCAAGAAAAAAAAAAGAAACAACCTAGTATCATAGGAATACTCATAATGATATTTACATACTACTACCATGTCTCAGATAGTGTCAAATATTCAAGATTTTGTGGAAATTCTGAATATTATAACACGTTATTCCACGATTTTGCATTAGCAATACTGCTCTGAAATCAGCAGTTTATAAATACATTCAGAATAATTCATCGACTGGTATTTTGTTATGTCTCTCCAGTTGCTTTTGTCCAAGTATGAGTCAATGGTATTATTCCGACAATATCACCGAACTTAATGACACAGTTTATTTGCTCTTTGAAGGTATTTTTATTTGTTTCTTTCCGATTCTTCTTGGGTGTAAGAATGACGTTGAGATAAGAGTCTTTCTATGTCTATCACACTGAATATTACCCAAGTCGAGTTTTTCAATCTCGCTTCGTCTAGATTATTTCTATAGTGGTAGCAAACCTTAAAGTTTAGAACTGTACGGTCATTTTTTATTTATTGAGAATATTAAAACATTCTCTAAAAAAGAGTGAAAATGATGCAATTACTTGAAATAAAATATTTGTTGTTTTTCTTTTTTATTGTTATCACTCATTTTGTTTCGTTGTTGCAATCGATGAAATTTCGCGTCAGAATGATAAAACAACAGAATGTCAAATAATCATTCTTTATATAAAATAGGACGCTTTACTACGTATTTTATGCTTCTAATGCATTTATATTACTGTATATAAGAAGTCATATTCTTTCTGATGTATTTCGACAAAGTGAGAACAATTCAGACATGATACCTTCATTTACATAAGAGAATTTTGCTCGATATATTTTTGACTATCACAAGGCATATGATTACGCTTGCCATGCCAATTAAGCTTATGAGAACAACCGAAATTTCTTTAAAAATATGAGAGTTAATGTCATTTTTGGCGAGAAAATTTTAAAATGCTTCATATATGTACATATAGGACTCCCTCAAGGCATTATTTTAAGCTGTTATATAGTCAAAGAATAGCACTGTCATCTAATAAACTATTTCGGTGTACATTTGTCTTATTGTTTCGCGAACGATCTGATTGTTTTCATGATGCTTTCTATTTAGAAAGAACTGACTCGAATCATTCATACACAAGGAAAAGAAACCTAGTGAATGTAATGACAGCAAAGAAAAAAAATCGAATAAGATAAAGAATTTAAGTGGCTAGGTTTACATGGACAGATAAGTTTTCTTTGTAACCTACTGTCAATAAGTGCTTTGGGAATATTCACAGATTCTTAGATTGGTAGAATTGTGATATTGAAGTCTTCGTGAATACTTCTTTCCATGGTTATTTCGATACTATGCTTTACTTCTACAAAAGTAAATACAAATATTGAATCGAAAATTTCGTATCGATCTTAAATTGGTGTATCGCTGTCTGTGCGTTTCATCACTTAAATTTTTCATAGTAATTTCAAGTGGTATCGGTAATGATAGTGTCGTTACTTAGACTCACATTCGCCCTTATCGACATCCACATCCTGTGAGAGCAATAGATATAATAAAGAACATGTAATATCATCAAATCAAATTCGATAAGGATGGTCGAAAACAAAGAAATTTATGAAGTAACTGTCAATGGACACTAAAGATCAGATATTGATTTATGTATGGACTCAATTAAGGCTGAAAATATTGTTGTAAAACGTGATTTTCTGATAAAGTTTTAGAAAAAAATTCTATTTTAAAACTGTACATATAATCATGGATACTTTATTCGAAATTGAACTATATTTATTATTCATTTATTAAATATGTTTTTTATAATTTGTCTGGGTCGTTTTTTTACTGTACAGTGTATGAATTAAAGTTTATCAAAATATTTGTTTGATTATAAATATAAAATTCAGTAGTATCATTAATAAATCATAAAATTCGAACGACGTAGTACGTCTTTTGAATGGCAGACTGTGGCAGCTTGTAAATAGCGAATGGCATGGTAACAAGAATGAAACATAGTTGTATAAGCAAATGTCATCTGCTGAAAGAAGTCTTTTATCTTAGTTTGATATAAAATAAGCATACGAAATCGACGTATATTTTTGATAGTCAACAAACTAAAAGTTCTACTCAAAAGTAGACAACAGAGGCTGCGTACACGACCATCAAAACTTATATTATGAACTATTCGATACCATTCAAGTTTTGTCTAGAATTCTTCATCGACAAGAACTAAGTTGAAGGACATATGAGAATAGCTGATACATGCCATAGCGATCTATATTATTCTTTGATACTTTCCAATATCAGTGTTACTTTATCATATAATAACTAAAAGAAAGTAAAGCATTACGTCTCGATTTAAATCAATCGTATCGCAACGGTAATATATTACTGTCACTTAAAGAACTGTCTTGTTTCAATGTATCACCATCAGATGTCTTACAATGGAGTTCAAGTATCGAGCAAACTGATCTTTATTCGAAATACTTATCTAATAGTTCATTTTATGTTGAAGTACCTATGTAATTGTACAAATTTTGCCTCATTTGGAAAATTTTATTAATACAAATTCTATGGTAATAGTACTTCTTTCAATGACTCAATCAGAAAGCAGTTTGAACCACTCACATACAATTCAGAATTAATGTAGTTGAATTAGAGACGTATTTTTGATGGTAAAAATAGCAATCTATGGATGATTTAGAGGAAGGTTTTCATGAGAGATTAGAATTTAATGAATATAAATATGCTAATGGAATTTATATTTCAAAAGAATATTGATCAGATAATGATCATGGAACAATAAATCATAATGAACATTCATAAAAAATGCAGAGTAAATAAATACAAGTTGTTTTATTTTGTTTGACCTCCTTTAGTCTGCGGAATGATTTCTGTGTTTTCTTTGTTAGTGCTTATAAAGGATGATATAGTTAAAGGAAGTTATAAGAGTATGATTATTTCGTCTGAACAAATATATTTAGCCATATGTAATTTAGATAAATAAAATTCACTAGTTGTTAATCGACGAGAACAATATTATATTGATACTCTTTATTTTTCAGATAGAAATAAGCACAATGAATGAATGAATGTGGGTGGAATTATTTTCGATTGATTATTATGATAATTAATATCATTTAGTTTTTCTATTATTATTATTAGATGGAAAGTTATCTATTTTATTTTTATTTTTATTGAGGATATAATCACAGAATGCTGCTTTTCATTTTTTTTTCAAAAATATTCAACTACGTATTTTGCAAACAGTAATATTAATCTAATTTTATTACTTGATATATGATTAAAAAGAGCAGTAAGAATCATGCCAGATGTTCTGTTTGAATAAAAATTTCATATGGAAAAAATGTTTTATTGGTCCTCTATGCATATACTTGTTTTATTTATGCTTTGAAGAAGAGTATAATGAAATATATGCAATGTATGGAGGCCGAATGCCTATGCCAACGATTACATATTAAATAGCTATATTCATTAAAATTCATGCGACTAAGAATGCAATAGTGATCAGTTCATTATGTTTTGATGTTTAACAGCAATTTTTCAAATAGAACGCACGTACACAATATTGCTAGTATCCTCGCTTAGAATATGAGAGGTTAATTCATAGATTAGATAGATGAATAGTTAAAATAAACATTTTTTGAAAGTTTGTTTAAATATATAGATATCTTTTTTTAAAGTTAACTACGATACTAACTGAAAGTCTATTAGATGCTTCTACCAAAACTCGCAATATCAGTCTTATTATGCATTTAAACAGATTCGCAAGGCTAATTTCAAGCTATTGCGTACCTGTACGATCGTTCTCGAAATTGTATATATATCTGTCTACTGTCTTATATCCTTTATAACATATACAGTTCTCCTTTTCTTTACTTGATTCAGGTTATATATTATAATTATCATAATTAATAAGATCAACTAACATGATATATTCTAATTTTGATTAAAAATTAAACAGCAACAAAGCTTGAAGATTTAAGATATCATAGTACTATATTGAAGTTAATATAATGAATTAGTAGAATGTTAGGATTCAACTGTATATGTGAAGTTATTACATTATTGTCAATCGCTTTGTGACGTAGCTATTTAATTAAAATATTGAAAGGATAGGAATTTTTCTATTGTAGAAAAATCCTGTTTTTTGATTGTTTAATTCTAAATTGAGATCTTAGATAAACGCTACATAAATAGTTTTGTAGAACAAGTCAAGTTCTGTCGATTGTTATGTGTCTCAAGATGAATAGGGAAAATATTTCATAAAAAATATAGGTCAATTTTTCATACGTTTTTTAATCTACTTTTATGCATGTCTGTTGTTGGATAGTTCTAACAAATCAAAAATAAATCTTTATATTATAATATTTTCTATTCATATAAAAGTAGATAAGACCTAAAATTCTTAGGATATTAAATTTGAAATCAGTTGAATTTTATTGTTTTGTTATACTCTTTAAAAGGTAAAGTAAATAGTCGAATAGCAATAAATATTGGTTGATAAAATTATTTATCAATTTGATTAACATTTTCAAATCGAATATCATACATTTATTTGATTAATTTTTCATAGCAAATTGCACAATAACGTGAATAGGTTGCATGTGTAAGAATATTTTTAGAATAAAATTCTTATATTAAGAATTTTTTATATAAAAATTTTGCTTTTTTATAATGTTTAACAATATATTTCCCATCACATTATTCTCAATTATAATCTGGAATTATAATCAATCAACTAACACCCGGTCGTAAGGAAGAATAGATTTGTTTAAGTGCCAAATAATATCTTTATAAGTAAGAAGATGAGGAATTAACTTGAAAGAGAAACTAATGAATAATTAAAACGTTAGATATTCAGGTACAAATAACAAATACGAATGATACGAATTTAATAATATATTCAAAATGAAATCATTACTGAATCAAAAAATAGGTTATTAATAG